CTCCCATTTGCGGAGCACAGGCTCCGGACGCGCAGGCTCAGCGGCCATGGCTCACGGGCCCAGCCGCTCCGCGGCATGTGGGATCTTCCCCAAACGGGGCACGAACCCGTGTCTCCTGCATCGGCAGGCGGACTCTCAAGCACTGCGCCACCAGGGAAGCCCATGTTTTTGTTTTTTTATAAATTTATTTTTATTTATGGCTGCGTTGGGTCTTTGTTGCTGCATGCGAGCTTTCTCTAGTTGCGGTGAGCGGGGCCTACTTTTAATTGCGGAGCACGGGCTCTAGGCACGCAGGCTTCAGTAGTTGTGCATGGGCTTAGTTGCTCCACAGCATGTGAGATTCCCAGACCCAGGGCTCAAACCTCTTTCCCCTGTGTTGGCAGGCAGATTCTTAACCACTGCGGCAGGGAAGTCCTAGCTAACATTTTGGATTGTTCCATTAATTAGGACAAGTGGCTTTCGTTGTTTTGAGTATCCTAAAGTTTAGTAGTTGAGTTACTTGGTCATGTTAATGACCTAATTTTTCCATTTTATATTCTAATGTTAGATTGGTCTTAAAAGCCTTTGGTACTATATCACACACACCCCCCTTTTTGTAGACCCTCCATTACTTACAGAGCTTGTAAATATTTAAACCTCTATATGTTCTATTGCTCCATTCACTTCTGTTCCTAGGATTTTTGTTCATGATTGCCTCTGACCGAGATGCTCTCTTTGATAATCTTAGGTTAAAGAAATGGCTCTCCATATCCATGGAGCCTCAGCCAACCTCCCAAATGTTTTTTGTTTTTGTTTTTCCAAATGGTTTTGTATTCTGAAATTTCAGGTATCGACCATCCCATAATTTAATATTTGATCATTTATCTCCTATTGTGTCATTTGTTAGGCATTTGGGAGTCTTCTCTAACTAGATTCAACTAAAACAGTGTCTCATAAGCTGAGTACAGAAACTTTAGAGGCTGATTAACAAGAGGCTGGATAAAGTGTTCAGTATTAACTTTTTATTAGAAAAATGTGCAACATCTTAAGTGGCTTGATGCTGCTAATGCTGGGAAAGTCTTGTCTATCCGCCAGGTGGCAGTAAGTGGCTATCTAAAAAAATCCCTGTAGCCTGTTGGATCTTGGAGGATGAATTGCTTTTTTGACTCTTCTTTGTTTTAATTTTCTGTGTTCAGTCCATTCTCAATATCCTGTCTGTCCTCTATCCTACTTTAACTGCTTGAGCAACTCCCCACCTTGATTGCAGTGGACTCCTGGCAATAATCTGGCTCCAAACTTCGTATTTCCAAAAAGGCCCCTATGCTGCCAAGCGTGGAACTAAGGTTTTTCCCAATTTGATCCAGATTGATTTTTCCTGCCACATTCTTCCCTACATCTGATGTACTGTGCATTCCAGTTTGAGTTTTACTTTATTTTCATGTATTGCTCATGCTGTTCCTCTAGCCTGCTATGACCATCACATCTACTCTGTCAGAATCATAAGATAGAAGCCAAGGTGTATAAGCCAAGTAACACAGCCAGGAAACTTATTTTGATTTCCTAGTCAGGATGAATCACTCCTGCACTCGGCAAATTGCTCCTATCACTATCTGGCACTTCGTGCTTTCATAATTAAAATAATTACATCCGTGTTTTCCCTTAAGGGCATGGATTGTGCCTTTGTATGGCTCACAGCACCTGCCACTTAGGTGTTCAGAAGGTATTAATTCACCTTGGAGGGTCCCTTTATCCCAGGCCTGCTGATTCCTATTCTTTTTTTAAGTAAATAAATATATTTATTTATTTATTTTTGGGTGCGTTGGGTCTTTGTTGCTGTGCGCGGGCTTTCTCTAGTTGTGGCGATCAGGGGCTACTCTTCGTTGTGCGCGGGCTTCTCATTGCGGTGGCTTCTCTTGTTGCAGAGCATGGGGTCTAGGCATGTGGGCTTCAGTAGTTGCAGCGTGTGGGCTCTAGGGCGTGTGGGCTTCAGTAGTTGTGGCACGCAGGCTCAGTAGTTGTGGTGCACAGGCTTAGTTGCTGTGCGGCATGTGGGATATTCCCAGACCAGGGCTCAAACCTGTGACCCCTGCATTGGCAGGCAGATTCTTAACCACTACACCACCAGGGAAGTCCCTGTTGATTCCTATTCTTAACAGGAATTCGATTTCCTGCTTTACCTGGTCTCTTCATTTTTCCTCTATTATCCTCAGTGATTTTAGAGGAAGTAACTTAGAAAGCAAGTTGCTTTCTTTGAGAAAGATTGGTTACTTTTCTGTCAGTCATTCCTAATAAGCTCTCTCTTAATCAAGGGACAGCAATGAGTCCGGTCTCATTCGGATTCTGTGGCAAGGAAGTGTCCTTGAGGAGGAGAGATTGGGGAAGGCTGTCTATAAGATTTCTCTGGAGTGAGTCTGAGTCAGAGATCTTTTGAGGGACTGTGGGTGATACAAAATGAATGAGGACAGCCCAGTGCTTCCTCAGAATTTGCCCAACCTGACGCCAGCAACAGAAAAAAGCAGTGGCTGGGTTTTTTCAATAATGTAATAGCTTTCCTCACTTTTATATGGTTAGATGAGTAGATTTG